CTTTTTCTCACAAAATTGTTCCATTTGTCTGTTTACCGACTCAAGAGCGTTGGCCTCAGAAACAATATTGTCTAGAGTTATGGAATCTCCTGTAGATAATACTTTTTTTCTGAGATCGGCGGAGTGACACTTCTCCACAATTTGGTCTATAAGATGTTCCTCAGGTGAGCTAAATTGGCACTTTTCAGCTTGTTTTCTCAAGCGCACCAAACATTTTCCAAATATTTCGTCCGGTTCTTGTTTAAGGAGTCGAAATATATGCCTTTCATATATTTTGCTTTGTTTAGGAGCAAAGTAGTTATTCAGTTTTCCCAAAGCTACTTCATACGGGTCGCTATCAACTCCATTCGCCTCCGCAGTTGACACGTGAGCGCCTGGTATAGTATATCTCTTGTATACCTAAGCCGCCTACATGCAACAGGGTAGCTCTTTTTTTTAAAGGGCTTTCAATATTGGCTGCATCAAGGTAAATTTCCAAAGCCCTTGTCCACTTTTCCCATTTTATGCCAACTGAACTAACATCACCCTCGCAATCAAAAGGCTCTAAAGGTACGAGGTTCGAAATTTTGGTTTCCCTGGAAAAAATATTATTTTCGCTTTATATAGATATCGATTGTTTGGTATCGATATTGATACTGTAACTCTTTTTCTTTTCGCTTGTGTACTAAGAATATGATTCATAGTCTCTATTTGGTATAACCTTTCACCTAATTGGCTTCTTTTTTTTTCTCATACTTATAATAATAATTGCTATGCTCTATTTATTCCAAGCCTCTATTCTTTTAATTAATAACCTATTGTTCTGTGTATCACATTCACAGCATCATAGGCTACTAATTTAATTTAATCCTTTTGCACTATGTATCACATTAATAGGCGCTTTTAATTTAATTCTTTTGCACTACGTTTCACATTCATAGGCTACTAATTTAATCCTTTTTGCACTATGTATCACATTCATAGGCTTCTAATTTAATCCTTTTGCACTATGTATCACATTCATAGGCTTCTAATTTAATCCTTTTGTACTATGTATCACATTCATAGGTTTCTCATTTAATCCTTCTGCACTATGTATCAAATTCATAGGCTACTAATTTATTAATGACTACATGTCATATTTTCAGCTAGTTAACTATCTCGATAGGCCAACTTCATTTTTTTTTTTTAATATTTATGTAAGTTTAATACAAAAACACTTAAAAATACTGACTAACTCTAACAATGCAATTCTAATTATTTTATAAGATTAATAGTGCGGGGTCAGTATGTCGACTCAGCTTGTTTAGCTGTTTGGCGGTGACATAAGTAGCTTTTTTTTTGTTTGTTTGTTTTTTTTTGGTTTTGTTTTTAATTAATTGCTATGTATCATATTCATAGACTCATGCTGCCTGGGATGTAGTGGCGTCTTTTCTAAAAACTTGTTCTGATTTAGTTATTTATAACTTGCTCAGCTGTTTCGAGCAAAAACGACGTGAGGCATATAGGTCTGAACGACTTCGGAAGAGTGGTGTCTCTTTTCCCTGCCTTCGGGATGAAAGTTACTTTAGCTCTTCTCCATTAACTGGGTATGAATCCAGTGGCTAAGCTGTATCTGATGAGTTTGATTAGATACGGCATGATTTCATTTTGTCCTTTTTGCAACAGGGCTGGCAAGATGCCTTCAGTTCCAGGCGACTTGAACGGTTGGAACGACTGGATCGCCCAAGTAAGCCGCTGAGGAGTGCAAAGGTTCTTGGAAACCTCCCAGTTTTTTTGCCTGGTTTGCCTGGGTCGCCCTTTGTTTTTTTCAGTATCATTCGGTGTGCTTCCTGGAAAGTGAGTTTTCAGTAGTAGAGCATCTCGTTGCTCTTCATTTTTTGTGCAGCTATCGTCTGGTTTCTTAAGTATCAATGGTCCTTGCGCCCTGCTTTTCGCCAGGGTTTTGTATAATCTGGCTGCTGATGGTGTTTCTGTGATAGATTCACAAAAGTCTCTGAAGTTTTTTCACTTGGCCTTCCTTATTTCTTTGTTATGCTCAGTCAGTCTTTCGGTGTAGCCCTGCCATTCTTCGTCTCGTTTGGTTGTGTATTTTTCCCAGGTTGTATTTCTAGGGTTTCTAGTGGTTCGTTTCTGCATTCCTTTTACGTCAAACATTATGATTCTGTGATCAGAGAAAGAGGGTTCATTGGAAACTCTCCAATTGCTGATCATTTGGTCAATATTTGGACTACAAAGTGTTATGTCTAACACTTTCTGTCTGACCCTAGTAATAAATGTTGGTGTATTCCCTACATTTAGTATAATTAGGTTTGTTTGAAAGATAAATTCTAACAGTTGCTCACCCTTAGATTTGTCTCGGCACTTCCCCAGATGGTGTTGTGGGCTTTGGCGTCACAGCCAGTTAGAAGCGGTAGTTTGCTCCTGTGACAGTACTCGACTAGTCTCTGTACTTCTTCTGGTGGTGCTTCCCCATCTCCAACGAAGTAACCTGATGCCGGTCGCGGTGTGGTTGGTTGGTGATAAGTTTTACCCGAACAGTGACCAAGTCCCGCGACAAAAAACTCTTTGTTCGACCTGACATCTAGAGCCATTTCAAGTGTTTTTACCTCTTCTGCTAGGAATATCGAAATGCATGTTCTATTTACTCAAAGATTCGGTATGCATGAATGTGCATGGTTAATTCTTGCAAAGCTAGAAGCATGTTGAATGAACCGAACAAGGATGAAACGTTCCTTCAGAACTATTATCTCATCATTTCCATTACGTTCATCTCCTTGATCATCTTGTTAGAAACTGGTTCATGGCCTGGTGTTTCCTTCCATTCAGGCCTCTGATAATTGTCTGAATTTCCAGGAAACTGGCTGAACGACTTCGTAATTGTCATCTTCATCTTGGTTCATCATTCAAGTGATCTCATCTCTCTGGGAAAGCTTCAGCGATTGTTTTTCATCTTCTCAGGTAATACTTCTGCATTTGCCACGCATATTAATCAATAATATTGATTTGGTTGAGGTTGGCTTGGAAGGAGAGAATTAGCATCTCTAAGCAAGCTCATTCCACTCCCTGAGCTCCCCAAGGATGATATTATCAAAACATTAATTTTGAGAAATGCTTCACAGTAGTCATGAGAAGCAGAGAAGAATGGAAAGAAAACACCACATCCAATCGCGTTGTCTTAAAGAAATCCTTGGAAATGACCTCCTGACATTTTAAAATTCAACCCTCGAAAACAGCTCCGGATTCCGTGGAAAATAATTGAGCGTCATGCAATTGTTGCAAATTCGGCATATCAATCTGTTTCAAATGCTTTTCGAATTATGTTTGAAAAATTTGTTTGCTGATAAATCGAGACTAGAAAAAAGCAGCAAAAACAAACGTTCCCCCAGACAAAAAATATACGAGCTAGAAACTAGAAAGAATGGAAATGCACATTATTTCACGACCTGACACTAGTTCGCAGGAAATCTTGCTCAGTCGTGTGGAAACTGAGTTATATTTAGCGTGCTTTCTGAATAATAATTTTTAAGGACGTTTATAAGTAAAATATGAACAGACATTTTCTGACATGAAGTCAGAAAATGAGCAAATATATTGAGCTGAAATCTGCACGCACAAACACATGAAAGCGTACAAGAAAACCCCTGCTGGTTACACGGTTTTCTCATGCTGTGTGCCAGAAACTGTATTGAAATTTTACGAAGTGCTTAATATGATGACACTGTGGGAGGTAGAAATTTCTACAAGAAAATGCTCTCGAACTCGATCGAAAATCGGTTATACGGATCATCTAGTTTCTCTCAGAATTGGGTAATTTTTCTGTTTGGAAAAATGCAGTGTGAAATTGGAAAGTCGAGGTTCAATAGATTCCGGAATTTAATACAATACATATTTATAAACGGAAAATAAATCACGGAAAATAAAAGTTCAAGGAGTATTCCTTACGTGGAGAACATTATTTATGATTCCTCAGGTTTTTTTTAATCGGTGATTTATTTTCTCGAAAAGTTATGTATAAGTAAGATTAGAGAATAAAACTTTATGGATCTGTTTACCCCAGTTCTAAATATTACAACTTTAAAAACGGTTAAGACTTCTTATCTGTGTGTAATTTAGGACGACGCGACGCCGGGAGTTTTTGGGGCGTAGAGAACTATGGAGAAAAGATGTACAATTTTTTCTAAAGAAACCTAGAATAGAGTTTTGTCATAAACGCTTCCTTGTCTCATTCGTCTCATTTGAAAATTGATCAAAACCATAATTTGTATTTTCGCGTAAACTGATTATTATGGAAATAATTATATTTGCCTGAAATCAAAAAATGAGGCATATGTAAGGACGATTTTGACCTATCGTATGTAGATGTTCTGATGGCTTTTTAAATTAAATGTATTTTCTTCGGATTATCTGACAGTATATAAGTATATAAATTATATTACCTGTTTCAAATATTATAACTAATTATACTTTTTTAAATCGTAAACTATTTTAATGTTAATTTTTTTGAAAGAGTCGCGCAATATTTGTCTAGTCATCAATCGTAGTTTTTGGGGTAGAAATTTCCAAAATAGCGGCCTGTCAATGTTTATTTTTGCCTAATTCAGAAAATTCATAACTTTATTATTACCGGTTCTATCACCTTCAATTTTTAGTATGCTTTACTTCAAACCTTCAAGAATAGAGCCTCAAAATTTAATTTTCGCGCCTACTGTCGTTTTTGAGTTGAAAATTCCAAAATAGAGGCTTGTCAATGTATATTTTTGCGTAATTCAGAAAATTCATAACTTTATTATTTGCGGTTGGACCACTTCAAATTTTTAGTATATTTTACCTTAAACCTTCAAGAATAAATCCTCAAAATATGATTTTTGCGCCGTCGGTAGTTATTGAGTGAAAAATTCCAAAAAAGAGGCTTGTCAATGTTTATTTTTGCCAAATTCAGACAAAAAAAAAATAAAAGATCGTTACAACATAGATAATGTAACATTGTTTTGTCTAAAGTTGGGTCTGTTTTGTTACAGGTCCAGCAGTAACAGTATTATGCTGAGAATCCTATTGGTCATCACAACTTTTACCACAAAAATTAGCAGCGACACTTTCACAATTGGATATTTGACCGGATCACAAAGACGACCAGGTAAGATATTTCGTATCTAGATTTATTCCAGTTTTCTTGATGTTCCAATGGGATTATGAAAATAAGAGATAAAGATGGAATCTGGGAATAATACAAGTCAGTAAGTGAGAGGGGCTTCGAATAAATTCAGGTTAAGCTACCCTTCAGCATCCAGGTGTGGAATAATCTGCTACCTTTTTAGACCTTGCTCCGGTCGGAATATATAAAAAAAATTTCTCACTCACCAACATGTACGTTGAGAAAAATATAAAGCTAATATTTAGGAAGGTCCTCATAAGTTTGATGCTTTTGACTTTCGATATATCCAAATTATCAAGTCCATAGTCCTAATTAAACATAATATGAATAGGGCCAATCCATTCTATCAGCTTTTAATACGCCGTAACGTAAAAAACCCTTGAAGTAATAATAAAAATCGTCCTGTCAGGCTATATAATTTATAAGAATCAGAGCCTCTTTAAATGCTATCTAAAGATGAGCTTTTCACTCCATAACTGTAGACTCAAACGGTAATAAAACAGGCACTTTTCTGTTCATAGGCGACATGGAATATTCCCGTCCAGGCCTGACAATATCCGGCGCCATATCCTTAGCAGTCGAAGAATTGAACCATGGTCTATTATTGAAAAAAGGTCACCAGCTTGATTTTATGGTATCGGAAACTTTCGGCGAAGAAATCATCAGTGTCCAGAAAACGGCGGATTTATGGACGAAAAATATTTCCGCCTATATCGGACCACAGGAAACTTGCGAACATGAAGCATTCATGGCAGCTGCTTTCAATGTACCAATGATTTCTTATGTAAGTATATTTTGATTTATTGGAAATAAGAACTTCTCTATAAATACAGGTTTGACTACAAAGATTTTAACACGTGAAAATATACCATTGAAAAAAAAAGAAGGGATACTAAATTTATTATTGATTTTGGCGCTATGAAAAGGCTATTTTTATCGACTCATTCCAGTTTTTTTGGATGCAAAAGAGTACAGAGGTCGTCATGAGTACATGTCGAACAAAAACCATCAATCATCAAAAACGATAATTTGAAAAAATATATGACAATGCATTTTATGAAAACACAATAAATCACCGCAATATTTGATGACGCCATTAACAAAAAACTATTCCAAAGAAAACTCACATTAAATTAGCTTCAAAACTTTTAAATTGCCCAAAAGTTGTCTAACCGCTGAACAAAAAAAAAAAAAAAAAAAAAAAAAGCTTTCAGACAAAAATGTGAAGTATGATTAAGCCCCGGTCCTAAACACTTGCACCATTTATCCCCTCTGTTTCAGAAAGTTTTAATCTCATTGTGGACGGTATATTGCAGTAATTTGATTCTCAATGAGATTACCTTCCTCCATCTTGAATAACTCGTTTAGATTTCGGGTTTGTTTAGGTAAAATTTTGATAAGGTTTTTTTTTTCCAGTTCTGCACCCATTCAGCAACCTCAGATAAAAGTAAATTCCCAACTTTTGCAAGAACTAGGCCACCTGATACGCAAATATCGAAGTCAGTTATATCGGTGCTGACAGCTTTCAATTGGACTCACGTAAGTTACATTTCTTCCTGATTAGCATTTATAAGGCATTCATTTGACATGGATACAAAGTTTGAAATTATAATTCAATTTTAACACTACGAAATAATATTCAATAGACTTAAAATTTGTATGTCAACTTCTCAACTCTAATTAATTTATTTAACATTTTGATGGATGAGGAACTATTTTATTTCCTGGATCAGATGGAGAGTTTTTGATTTGTTTAGTACAGAACTTTATGTTTAACTAAGTTGTTTGTGTAACAGAAAGCCTAACGTTTAAAAAAAGGCTCTTTTCCCGTTGTCCTTGCAAAACAACATATTTATAATATCATAACTTCCTTTCAGAACGATGGTTCTAAAAGGCTTGCGAGACACTATCGGATTTGTTTGAAGGGAGATATTAAATAACGTTACTTTTCGTTATTTTTCTCTTCTCTACATATTGTATGAGGGGCTTTGTAACAAAACGTTTTCTCGCTATAGAATAGAGCAATCATTCTTTTCATATTAGAAAACTTTAAAAAAAAAAAATTAAAAGCTTTTTCTTTAATTTCAGATCGTATTATTTTACTTAAAATCTCCAGAATTCGAATTCGTGAATATCGCCAACATTTTACGAGAATCACTGCCAATTTCCGGCATAACAATTATGTCAACTTTATTTTGGGATACTCCATACCACCATGGATATATGGAAAATCCTTTTGTGAAGCTAGTGGAGCAAACCTACAGGGATACTAGAAGTAAGTTAGATTTGCATAAACTGCCTATTGAAACAAATAAAAGCTAGGGAAATTTATTCTGACATTTCCATCCGGATATAATTTTTTTAGGCGAGTGAACCTGATTGCGTTACGTCCAGCTTCAATGTAAAATAAATCAAAATAAAAGCCATCACCAAATGCCTGTCGCTGAGCTTTTAGCAGCAAGCTTCGTTCCGAATAATTGAGTTACATGTTTTTATTTACTTTGTCCCTTTTCGGGACAGTTTCACACTATCTTGTCAAAACAGATATAAGGGGACATTGTTGTCCAGTTTGTTTGGAAATGGAATTAAAAGATTTAAATATTCAATGAGATTGAACACAAATCTGAATTTTTTCATCGAACTTAAAATATGATTAGCAGTTGTCATTTTGCAAAACAGGCTCCGTTCTTTCTACTATAAATTCTCGTTCAATGAACTCTGAGCAAACTAGAAAGTCGAAACAGTTTACAAGAAAATAGGTTCACGGTTTCGGTTGCCAAATTTGTGGATCCTTTTGTCTCCTTTTATCGGGAGAGTGTTTTCGCTAAAATAATCTATCTCCAGTTTTCCATTACGATAAACTATTGAGAAATTTATTTCTGGCATGCTTATATAATTTTTAATGAAATTTTAATGTTCCTATTTACTGAAAATGTTAAGTATAGTAATACAATATTTCGTAACCATTTAAAAGGTTTCACTCTTTCTGGAATTGACTACACAGAAAATAATGTTTTGCCTCTTCTTTTTTGTTCTTTATTTACTCGGTCTTTTTTTTACATCATCATCTAATCCTTATTAGAACAGCTAAGACTACAAATAGCATTTGGAAGTCAGGACAACGTGACCCTAGACAAGCCGACGTCGAATTGACAACTTTTACATTAGTTTGAAACTTTTCAAATCAAGCCGTTCCGACGCTATCGCTCACCAAATGCAACGTTAATTTTACGTATACAAAAGTACGCTATAAAAGGGCAATAATTAATCTTATTTCATATAATCGTGTTCGACCAGGCCTGCACTTTGATTTAGAAATTGAATTAAAATTCTGATAGCTATGATTCAATTGCCTTCACTTTACTTTTTTATTACGTTTGTGCCGATGTAATCGAATTTTTGCACCTCTGCCAGTAAGTTGATTGCCTCATAAATTTTTCATGTGCTTGATTGCAGGCTGAAATCATTTCGTGAATTAGTTCATCATGTCAGACTTAATGGAAACCTCGTTTGACAGCTATCATGACGGCTCCGGTTGTCTTCTTCCTGGTGACTTTTCTGTTGTCTCAAGTTGACGGCTCTTTCTGATAGCTCACCCGGAAGGGGCAAAAAACTGATGAGACGATAGCCTTGTGAAACTTATTTCTATCCCTCCCTGCTTCAATTGGCATGGCGCCTTACGCATACTTCCAGCACTGCGGAAAATGGTTTTGTCTCATGATGTAGAAGTTAGGAGCCATTGTGGCATCTATTTGATCATTTTAATTGAACCCTTGTCTGAGCCAGATTCATTCTTCACCTCACTGGAGAGTTCGCCATTAGCCTATCCTCTTGTTTGCGATAATTTTCAATGAGCTCCCAAAATGCTAGCTTCCAATGTCCTAACTACATGTAGATGTAGATCGTGATGGTTGGAGTATTTAGGTTATTGGTTTCTCCGTACTGCGACCTGACTAGATCTATTGTACCTCCCCTTATATTTAGTGGGTCCCCAGATTGAGGCTTTTGCAAAGCCTATAATTGGCTTCTTTTACATCCACAGCCGTTAAGTAGAGTTGCTCCAGATAGATGAGTCTTCTGCGGCGCAATGCCTCACAGTAGTAAAGTACCTATGTGTTCCGCAGACTCAAAGGCTTCTTTATTAAACTATGAGGTCATTAGTATTTATTGAAAAACAGTTCGCCTTTTATTATATTTATTTCAACTACTTGAAGACATTTTATATCAAAAACGTCGAGCCAACAACGAAAAAACCCGTTGACTTTTTCTACTGTCAGTTCTATCACACCTTACTGGTGACTGACAAGTTGTTCGCACACTTGCAACGAACTGCACTCGCAAGCTACAACACAGAAATGTATTTCAACATTTTTCACAGAAGCGGCATAGGTCTGATTCTGTTTTTTCCATCCTTTTCTTTCCAGGTGGTAACCCAGAGGGCAGGAGGCCTGTAAGCAGCCTTAGATCCGGTTTACTAAGGTCAACCATTTCCTTTACCTTTATTGGCTGGGGTGAGATGAATTGTTTCGCCTGTGTAAGTCCTGGAAGCGAGTTCCAGCGGAAGGCTTGTTGAGCCTTTACCCAATTTTTGGCTCCCACTATTATATGGCTTTTCGTAATGCCAAAGAACCGTTCTGGTCCAAGGAATGGTTTTGCATTTCCTTGTCTTGCAAGTTGGTCCGCTATTTCACTTCTTCGTGCCCTGGTACCCATAACAGGGTGACTCTATTGCGAGACGCCAGTTGCTTTAGGAGTTGTTGGCAGTCCCATACCAATCTAGACCTATAGTGACAGAGCTACTCGGAGCTCTTAGTGCTGCCTGACTATCGGAATTGATGTAGATGTTCGGTCTTCACAGGTCTCTTTCGAGACACTTTCTAGCGCAAAATTCTACTGCGAATATCTCCAATGCGAATATGGCTAGGCTTTCTCCTAAGGCTATTGATAGTCTACAAAATGGGCCGTATACCTCTGATCCAGTCCCTTGCTCTGTTTTCGATCCATCTGTATACCAGACAGATGACCCGTTCGGGAAAACAGATTCTCAAGAACATACACAGAGGGAGAAGTCAATACCCCCCACTCAGCGAGCGCAGCCCTACAGTCCTCCCTGTACCCCAGGCCAGCCATGAGTCTCATAGCCCTCCTCTGTAGGCCAAAGACCCTAGCAGAGTGTGTCGAGGCTCCTCAAGCCAATATTCCATACACCATTTTGCTGTTAAACACAGCACAATAGGCAGCTCTAAGTGTTTCCTTTGACACACAGCCCACCAGATTTCTCAAGACAAAAACCCCAGCTCCGACTCCCGCACACACCGCCTCTATGTGGGGTTGCCAGATGAACCGATCCCAGATCACAACCGCCGTTGACATCTCTCAAGGTGTGTTGGGTCTTGTCAGCATTAAGCAACAGACGATTTGAGAGGAACCATGCCTCTACCGCTTCACGTCCCCTAGAGAGTTTGTCCCTAGCCTCCCGTTCCGTCTCCCCAGTCACCGCAACAGTTGTGTCATCCACAAACAGCACAAACTTAGCGTGCTCACAGCAGAAAGGCAGATCATTAACAAAAATCAAGAAAAGAATCGGACCAAGGACCGACCCCTGCGGTACTCCAAGATCCAGAAGTGATTCCACAGAGGTCACACATCCACCCTCACTGCCTGGTAACGCTCAGCAAAGTATGACCGCGTCAGCTCAATACTATTTTCACTGAAGTTGTAGAATTTTAATTTTTTTAATAGAAGGGAATGTGTGACGCAATCAAAAGCCTTGCTGAGGTCACAGAACAAGGCATCAAAGTACTCCATACCCTCAAATAAGTCCCTTATCCCCTCCAGAAAGTCCAATATTCCCCGGGTCGTGCTACTTTTAAGGTGCTGCTGTAAAAGGTGCAAGTATGGTTTTGTTGGGGTTGACGCTTAAACCCTCCTATAGACACCATCTAATATTGAAATTTAGGACATTTTGCATAAAGTTACTAATCTGTCATGCCTAGCCCTAATGATGACTGTTAGGTCGTCAGCATATCCTAGGATCGTGATCCCTTGGGCGCTTAGCGCGATGAGACGTTCATCTACTACCAGTGTCCACAGCAGTCGGGATAGTAGACCCCCTTGACTGCTGAGACCGTTGCAGAGTCACTTCCATTTGTTGCTTTGATTTTCCTATACTCAAGCATGGCTGTCCTGCATACTCATACTGCAGTTGTCCGATGTTTTGAATTACTGTTGTACCAGTGTTTCTATTTTGGATTTCTTTTACGACATTTCAAATGACAGCTATGGCCAATAGTGTTTCATTCATTGTGTTTTTGCACCAAATCTGGAAATTCCTTTGACTATGATATTTTATAAACAAAAGTTCCTGGCTGCTAAAACTTGTCTCGGACATGACCTTTTGTCTTTGTCAATATTTATTATGTAATCCTCTATAAATAAAAAACGAGGCAGCGGTGAATTTCATATCGGAGAAAACTCCTTCAGTTTACATAACTTAAAACTTTCAGGTAGAATAAAACTCAACCTAAAAGTACTTACGAGTAGGTTTTTAAAAAAAGTTGTGAAGTTTAGCTGCAAAGTTTGACATTAACTTTGTTCGTTCTATTGCAGTTTTCGTTATATTGGGTCATCATTACGAGCACTTAGGACTAATGGTCGCTATGGAGGAGAAGAAACTTTTTGATAAAGGTGAGTACGCATTAATTTTCCAAATAGAGATCTTTTTAACAAAAGGGCGCTTTTATCTAGGAGAATATTTCGTCGTGGGAGTCGATATTGAACAATACGACGATAAAAATCCTTCAAAATATTTTCATGGGCTTCTAAGAGATGACAATTTACCTAGTGACCCCGTGGTTCAACAAGCGTATAGGAGTTATTTAGGCGTGGTACCTTCAAGCCCAGTTGGATTTGAAAATTTCACTTCTTTGGTAAACACCTACATGGAGCTACCACCATTCAATTTTCCTAATCCTCTATCGTATTTTGGTGTGGGAAAACGGGTAAGTTTTTAGTAGCACATGAAAATTGTATTGTTTACATCCTCCAATTTCGAGAGTCTTTATCAAAACTTTCAAGATTCGTTATTAGGTTTCATGAAACCTACTTAGTAATATTAGAAAAGTTTTGTTATAAAGTTCCAGGGCTCTATCAAATATGGATGATTTTTATCTTTAACTTACAGATTCGGGCCGAAGCAGCTTATTTATATGACGCGGTACATCTCTATGCAAAGGCTTTGATAAAAGTTTTGGATCGTGGTGGAAACCCAAGAAATGGTACGGACATCATCAATTGTATAAAGAATACACATTATAAAAGTGCGATGGGGTAAGTGAATAAATAAACTATGCTTGGTTTTAGATAATTGAAATATTGCGAGCAATCAATTATTTTAAACGCCCTAATTTGTATTCCAAATCCGTTGTTAATTTTTACAATGAACTAGTTCAGGAACAGTAAGAGAAAACGAATGAACTTCATTAAAAGCATAATGGGGCTCATTATTCTCTAGTTTAAACTCGCTGGCTGAAAGTCCGTGGTTGAATTTTAACCCGAGACTTTTGATAAAACTTCTTTTATGGAAATTTGTATATTCTTTCAAACCCCTTTTTGTATAATATAGCAACAACAGCATTGATTTTTTGAGAACTTTCCTTGGAAATTCTATGAAAAAGAAGTTAGCATCTTGCCGATATTATTCTTTTGTCGATGGGAATGGGATGATTTCAACTCGGATTCACTGGGGATTCTCATAGGAATTTTCAACTATGTAGGTGCTATTTTGCTGCTTTCGTTTGTCACAAATATTTTTTGCCGCCATTCTAATGTCTAGCTAGACTTTAACCGGTAGAAGTGTCATTCAATAGGCGAATGTGCTTCCAGAATGGATTATTTTAGTTCCGTCACAGTATCGCAGTCGTGAAAAAGATGTTTCGTCCTCCCGCTACCAGCCTCTGCACTAATCTCAAAAACCTTACCATTATCTTCAGTTTTCTTCAAGACGTAGATACCTAGTAATACAGCGGATTAGCCAACCTATTGTGCACTTTTTGATAAAGGCATGAAATTTGTCACAGAGGTAGACGGATGTAATATGAACAAATTTAGATGTGGAGCCATCGGCCCACTGCCCTCCGGCAGCCGTGGCGGCGATTTTCTAAAATGGCCGCCAGTGGACACCCGAAAGACAAGGGAAGTTAGATAAAGTTTGCTGCTGAAGGTTTCAGTGATAACTCAATGAAAACATGCCAGATAGTTTGTAAGTTATACAAGGTGGGGTACGCAAAACTTCCCGCACCTATTTTGGGGGTATTTTCACCCTCTAGCCTCAAAACTTCAATTGGAAAAGGGGTTCGAGTGATACAATGTACTACATATTTCCTAACTTTGACGAGCCGCCTTTGGACTATTCACCCTGCCGCAACTTAAAATTTCGAGGATATTATCTTAAAAAAACTTTTCATCGAATGACGAATCACTCGACCTCCCTTTCTATTTGAAATTTTGGGGGTACCTGTCACCTCGCTAAGGGGTTGACAGGTAGAGGATGAAAATACCAATAAATTGTGTCCCCCAAAAAACAATAAATAACGGGTCCGAGCGATTTTTGATTAATCACCTTAAACCTGAGACGGGACCTGAGAAAACCTAGGTGGGAAGTTTTTCGTGTTCCACCCTGGTATGTTTTCATTTAAAACAATCAATAAACATTCACTGAAACCTTCAGTAGCAAACTTTATCTTACTTCCGTTGTCTTTCGGGGTGTCCACTGGCAGCCATTTTAAAACATTGGGGCAGTTGGCCGATGGCTCCACATCCAAATTTGTTCATATTACATCCGTCTACCTCTGTGTTAAATTTGGTGCCTTTATCAAAAAGTGCACACTATGTTGAAATATCCTAGCTAAGCTGCCGCACTATAGTCAAAGTTGCCGAGTCGATCCTATAGTTTTCTCACCCCTTATTCTTGTTCTTGATTATCTCTGAACTGTTCCCCGACTATTTCAGTTACAGTCTCCAGCATTTGGTTTGGTTTGTGAACCTTTTTGAACATGTTTGAACCACAAGATCTCCTTTAAAGTCACCTTCCTCAAATAAATATCTGGGGAAGGAAAGCAGAACATCAATTTCACATGACATATCCCTTGTTGGCGTAGTTCTTATGATTCCGTATGGCTCGAATCAAGATCCATCTTTTTCTCAGCCCAGTGATGTTTTTGTAAGCACCTCAGAATGATTGTTCATGTTACGTATTCATGAGTTTCAATATTTCTGCAGTGGTTCCGTTTTATCCAGGACATTTTTATCATAATCTCTAGCACAGCTCCTCCAACAGCGAACCAGTAATTTTCTCAGAAAACATGTTTAACCAATTCACAGACACGCCTTGATAATCGATTGTGCTTTAATTATTTTTTCTGGAATTTTCTCTAGTCGCTCAGAATATAAGGTTGGGGCAGCAATGGGCAAATCCCACCTCCAAAAAGCCTGCATTCTGAGAAAGGGGTCCAGGAACATCTTCGTTCATTCGCAGCAATAAGCCATAGCAGAAAGAGCTCAATTTCGTATGAAAACTTCATGAAAATTCTATTGAAGGTTCAGTGTAATTAATGAACTTCTTAAACCTACGAAAAAATGGGTTCAATCGCCTTTGAACTGACATCTGCCGTGTCCAGGATCAGAATCAGTAAAAAGGCTGGAGTCTTCTTGTTCTTCTCTTTCATCATCGAACAATGAGTTTTACTCCTTCCTTATACCTCACTCGAACTAGCAGAAACGGCTCTGCACTAAAAATAATTCTATCGATGCCAACAGCTTCTCCAAATAAAACATAATTTTATCAGGAAAAAATAATTTCGCGGTGTGTTCCTGCGTGTTACTCAAGCAAGGAGTACGAGAATAACAACTGATCAGTTGATCAATTTTTATCCCCAACTTGATGAGGATCTTAATTCCAATATCGTAGAAAAAATTACCCCAGCTGGAGTAGTGGATGCTTCATCTTCCCCGTTCATTATAATTTTTTTTTTACATTTCAAATCTCTGGCATGGAAGCAGTTTTGTTCACTCACTCACCATCTTCAACACTTTGCCATCGATCTTCTCGATAAAGATACATCGCTCTGTCAGATATACTTACCTACTTAGGAGACATTGACGTCCGAGTCGGCAAACTTCCGTCCTGTAGACAGGCACCATTGGCAAGCATGGGCAATAGTAGCTCAAATGGAAATATTTTACTGACGTAATTTTCGGAACACGATATCATCATAAAAGTCTTTTTTGTCAAGAAAATAAGCCAAAGTGGCAACATCCAAGATTAAAGCACTACCATCTCATTGACAAGACTAGACTACGAAAATAAATGGTATAATATAATAATTACCTAACTCATGCAAAGTGAGAATTAGTAAAGGAAGTTAAAATTTTTATGAAAACTAGAAACTGTCTTTCTTATAAACTTGAATAAAAATTTTCTTAAAATGAACATAAAAGTAGAAAATCTTTTAGAGTTTTTGACACACATAGAAAAATATGACAATTTAGAGATATAGGTGAATTTTGATGGTGATTGTTGAAACACTGTGGACAGAACAGGATGATGGAATGTAGGAATGTATGCAATTTAAGTTTTGTATTTTTTTATTTGTGATTATTGCAAAAATAAGCAAAATATAGCGACGTATTTTTTTCATATTAGAGATATTTATTCATTTATTTTCTTGCTGGCTTTGAGGGCCTGGCTCGGTTGTACCGGGTCAAGAATCTGTGGATATGCGGCGGAACACCACCACCGGGAATGGTGGCCGTGATCAATGCGTCCAATTCGGCGTCGGCTCTAATGGCCAATTGTAAATGACGAGGCAGGATTCTTTTGAATGGAAACTGTTTTTTCAGGTCCCCAGTCAGATCGAGAACCTAAAAAAAAAAGTTTGTGCTTAAAGATCACACGACAGAAGTGAAAAGTATTTTTTTTTTCTATATTCAAAAAGTAATAACATTTATAATGTAATTATAGGTAACCAAAACAATTTAACCAAACTCAAGCATGATAACAGGATGTACTCTAAAGTCTAAAGGCAAGCACTTAATGGAGTTTAGTGAACTTTCCCGCCAAATTCACTTACATAAAACTTACCTCGGCTGTTAGATATTCCAAAACACCAGCTAAGTAAACCGCAGCCGTATCACCGAGCCTCATTTTGCGGGTGGCGTGAATTTTCAATTTCCTGTGAATTCGGCCCACAGGAAACTGAAAAAAAGAACACAATCGTGCGTGAAAACCTCATGCAAAAACTGGGTAACGCATGATAAAACTACAAAAAAAAGTATTTCGTAAGTTTTAAAACTTGAACTTACGGTGAGTCCAGCGCGAGTCGAACGCATAATCCTCTTCGCTCTGACTCTTGGAGGGGCTTCTTTCAGAGGCAGAGCCAAGAGCTCCGCGTCTCCGACGTCGTCATCTTCACCGAAGCCTCCCTCAACTCCCTCGCCAGCGAAGAGCTCCATGTCTCCGACGTCGACATCTTCTTCCTCGGCCTCTTCACCGAAGTCTCCCTCGCCAGCGAAGAGCTCCGCGTCTCCGTTGTCGACATCTTCTTCCTCGGCCTCTTCATCGAAGCCTTCCTGAACTGCCTCCTCAAATTCCGCAACCTCCTCGGCAAAGTCTTCCTCATCCGCCTCAAGGATCTCGTCGCCCTCGTCAAGGCCGTTCAAGTCATTCTCTTCAAATGGAGCACGAGGCTGAAAATATGCAAAAAAAATAATGGTTGTTACAAAAAGAAAACTTCAGTCTTCTCCGCTAAATTTCATTTGTTTCTTTGTTGGAACAATACTGGGAGATGTTACGGGATTATAAGAATCCCATCATCAGCTGAAACAATTACAAAGGAGAACCTAGAGTTTGACGCTTGTGAATATACATAAAAAAAATATCACTAAACATTGTATAAATAGATTTAAACTTATAAGCTTACCCCGAAATTATTACGAAACACACTGTACACCCCTCAAGGGTTAAAACTACCCATTTATGTAAGGATAAAATCGGAAGGTATGGAGTGTAGTGAATCCCCAATTTTAACAAGTTTCAAAGCAGGAGGAGAAATTAATTATTTAGTGGTCCTTTAAGGGCTTTTACGTCGTTTCTTCCTCCACGCTTGAAAAAAACCAAACCTGAGAAATTATTATCAGCTGAGCTAATATCAGCATAAAACAACAACCAGGAACCCAGGGGAGTAGCGGCAGTGTGCATATGATATTCATAAATTATTATAAACTTATTATTTGTAATATAATTATTAGATCCAATTATCACTATTAGGAAG